ATGAGGCGCTGGGCTATATTCAATCTGATTATGTACCAGGTGGTGGTTACATTTGCCTCGACGCTGAATTGCGAGCATATTGCGAATGTCGGCACCTTTATATTTGAGCTTGCACAATTTGTCCACAGATTCGTTGACCATTTCAGCGCTAATATGATGGCCACCGCTGGCGCTATGCATAGCATTGGAAATCATCTGATATTCACTATCATATTGGGCTAACAACTGCTCAAACCGTGCGATTGTAGCCTGACTTTGAGCACCGGGCGGTCCGTGTCGTTCGTTGGCTATCAGGTGCCGGACGTAATCCCCAAACGCGTCGTTTACCGGCGTTAACGCATTGTTGGCCAGAAAACAGGCAAACATTGACATCGACTGAACGATTGTCTCGTTTTCGGAGTTCAAATCGACAATCCGTTGGTCCAGACGTCGGATCTGTAGCTCTTTGGCCTCAGCGGCCAATTGGGCCGACACGAGCCTATTATTGACCACCTGGTCGGTGATCTTGGTCACTTTAGACTCAGTCTCGTAGTGCAGATGCAGGTGCTTTTGGTAACTGTGGCCACAAGTTTGACATGTGGTCGACGCCTTCATTAGTGACATAAACCTATCGGACAATGACCGGGAAAATGATGGCTTAGACCCGTAGGGATCGCGATCTGTGCCGCTGTATCTATTGAACGCTTTACACCGGAGTAAACCCTTATTGCCAACAATATTACCATCGCTAAAGTCCAGGTAGCATGGTGAATGGCATTGGGTAGTGTAAGTGATCTCGGTTATGTCATTGCTTATATGCCGTTTACAACACCGGACGTCACCGCATACAGTCTTGGGTAGATCTAATGGTTTGGTTATTATCTCAACCGATGGTATGTATAGTTTATGGCGAAGTTCTTCAATGGTTCCCGAAGTTTGTTTGATACCAACGCTATGTCTTTGGCACTGATTTATGTTATCCGCGATATTCATCGCGATGTCGGCCAACGGTTTGGTTAACATTTGTATGATTTGTTTGGTGTCGTTCACCGATAGTGTGTCCATCACTTTGTGTGCCGGCAGTTGTATTATGTAATCAAATAAACGTTTGCATTCATTCACAGATCTGTAAATATAGAAATATGATACAAATTACAATTTTTACATTAATAAATAATCTTACATTTCCCAACTTTCATTATAACTTGACTTATATTTTGGGTCAAACTGTATATTATTTGGCGGAACCGAAGCCACGAGATATCGGAAGGACTCGGAATCGAAACAATAGATTGTATTCTTGTTATAAGGGATGTCAACATTTGGCGGTCTTTCCCGGATTTGCTTCAAAATACTGATTAAAGCGGGTCCGGAATCTCCGGGCATGTAATGAGTGCTCCGGGAGTTTGTAAACAGAAATAATATATTTTTTGCGGCGCTTTTATTCAAATGACTAAATAATTGATACAAACAATACTTGAAAATCACATCAACTCTTGCATCGTTTGGTTTTAAGAGAACACAAAAGGCATTGATTTCCCGATAATTACTAATAAAATCTAATATATTTTGCATATTTCTATTATCTTTGTCGACACCATCCGTGTCCGCAATTCCCGGCGTATCAATAATATTGAGCACAATGTTATCGTTTTGAAATTTATAGCATTTGGGGTATTGTGTGGCAGATTTAGTCGTGTCTGCAGTGTTTTCATTCAAATCCTGGTCACCAAATGTCACTTTCACGGGTAAACTTGTTATTGGGTCTGTAATACCAAAACCTACGGGTATTAAACATATGGGCCGTCCGTTCGCCGCATCCATACTCTCGAAAGACATATAGTTTACGATTGAGTTAATGAATGTAGACTTTCCCACACCTGACTCTCCCAATAATAATATCGTGAGTTCTTTCTTTTCCTTGTGGATATAATGAATAATTAATTTAATTAGAACTTTACATTATTATAAAGTTATGTACAATTACTATTCTAATTTTTATTAATAAATATTTATCTATTATTAATGAAGTTAATAAAATATTTTAATAATCAATTAATTATTATAGCTAATAAATATGTACCTATGACGCAGTGTAGTAACTATCATTAATTTACCAAATTTTAAAAAAGTCCTGTTCAAAAATTATTTATTCGATCTTAATGAAACTTAGATTTTGATCCTTCGATGATGTTAACTATAATTATGAAATTAGTTTCATAATTCTAACTACACGGCTTTATGTATCTGTATTTTATGGCAAATAAAATATGTATTACTTTTGAAATATTATTAATATATTATATTAATAATCTATAATAAAATAGTTAACTAGTTTTTTTTTATTATTCCAATGTATTTTACAATAGGTTTTGTGATCACTAATTAATTACTAATTAAAACAATTTAATACAATAAAATAATTTTTTGTTTACCTTTGCTGCCATATCACCTTAATTAAATATATAAATGTTTAATTTTGTAAATAATGTCACAATAAAATAGTCACATTCATTTTAATGTAATTTTGGTAATATATTATATAATATTATTTAAAAAATATTTGAGTATCAAATAAAAACAATAACAATTATGGTTGATTAATAATTAAAATATTTATTTTCAATTATGATGCTTAAAAAATAGTTTAAGATATATTTTACTACAATAAATATTGCCAAATTAAATATAGTATAAAGTATTGTATAAAGTATATTAAACGGTATACTTTAATCAGTAAGTAATAATTTATATCTTTTATAGATAATATTGTTTTTACTCATTATTATGAGTACTATTGTATTAAAAAGTTATATTGTAATTAAAAGTTATAAATTGTTATAAGCTTAAACGTTTAAAAAGGTATAAGTTTAAAATTATAAATATTAATTAAAATATAAATAAGTAATGTTAATACAATTCTTCCTATAATGACATATCATGGTTTAATTTACAATTATTCATATATATAAATAACATTATTTAAGTTTTACAATCTAAAGTTTTACTATCTTTATACTACCCTTATATTAAAAGGGAAAGTCATGAGTATCTACTCAAACAAATATTAAAATAAAAATTGATAATATTGTTAACCGCATTTCATATGCAATTGTTTAATAAATATATTTATGAAATACTTATATTTAATACTTATAATTAATGTAAATTACAAAATATTATTAAACCAATTAATTTAATTCGGTCATTCCAAGATTTAACTATTGGAGATATAATTAAATATGCAAACGTTTTATAAATGTATGTTTCATGAAAGTGCTAACTTTATTAATTCAATTAAGTTGGGAACATGGCCCACGAAGATAACTGAATTCCGATGGGGTTGATATGGTCGTGTTCAGTACAATTAGTAGATGTATATTCTTTTGTCAAAACCTGCCAATGGCATCGCTGTG